AACCCAAGACCATCGCAGATCTACGTCGCTTCTTGGGGATGGTAAACTATTACCGTCGAGTATTGCCGAATGCCGCTCAACAGCAAGCTCCGCTAACCAAACACCTGAAGGAGGCGAAGAAGAGGGACAAGCGAGAGATTCCCTGGACAATGGAGACAGAAATGCGTTCCAGAAATGCAAGGATGCATTGACAGCTGCCACACACTCAGTGTGGCACTTTCTCGCTCCAGATGCACCTCTCACACTGACGACCGATGTTGCGGACTCCGCTATAGGCGCGTCACTCGAACAGCAGATAGACGGACACTGGCAGCCACTTGGATTCTTCTCACGGAAACTCTCTCCAACCGAGCAGAAGTACTCCACATATGACCGAGAGCTTCTTGCTGTGTTCGCTGCCGTCAAGTTCTTCAGACACATACTTGAAGGAAGAGTATTCCAGGTACGGACAGACCACCGACCGCTAACATACGCTTTCAGCAGAAAGGCAGAAAAGAGTTCGCCACGCCAGCTAAGACAACTGGACTACATCTCGCAGTTCACCACGGACATAGTCCATGTGAAAGGCGAAAACAACGTGGTTGCAGACACGCTCTCCAGGATCAACGCAATTGAGATGTCAAGCACACTCTCAGCAGAAATCATCGCAAACGCGCAGGAAGCAGATCCAGAACTCGCAGACATCGTAAGATCCACGTCGCTCGAGCTGAACCACCTTCGAATCGAAGAAGAAGACATCTGGTGTGATGTCTCGATGGGTATCGTACGACCGTACCTACCACAACCACTTCGACACAAAGCATTCGACGTCATCCATGGTCCGGCTCATCCGAGCGCTCGCTCAACGCTGAAGTGCATCAAACAAAAATTCATCTGGCCAGGCATCAACCAAGATGTTTCTCGCTGGGCACGTGAGTGTTTACCGTGCCAGCGATCAAAAGTCAGCAGACACAACAAACCACGGCCTGAATATATCGAAGCAACGGACAACCGATTCAATCACATCCATTTGGACCTGATAGAGCTACCGCCTATACGAGTAACCGCTATTGCCTCACAATCATAGATCGTTTTTCCAGATGGCCAGTTGCACTTCCACTACCGAACATTGAAGCAGACACTGTAACATCCGCTCTCTTCAATCACTGGATATGCAACTTCGGGACTCCACTGACGATCACCACGGATCAGGGAACGCAATTTGAATCTGCACTCTTCCAGTCATTAGCGCGACTAATTGGTGCAACTCGGATTCGCACTACGCCGTATCATCCACAAGCGAACGGACTCATCGAACGCTGGCATCGTACCCTGAAGGCAGCACTAAGATGCCATGCACCAACACCGTGGCCAGACATCTTACCAACCGTTCTTCTTGGCCTAAGAGCATGCGTGAAGGAGGATCTGCAAGCGTCTCCAGCAGAGCTTCTCTTCGGCACAACACTACGGTTACCGGGTGAATTTTTTATTCATGAGGATCCACCGGCTGATCCGTTTATATTTTTAGAAAAATTCCGCGAATATATTCGTAAGATCCGTCCAACGGCAACAGTTCATCACACGAACGCGAAACCGTTCGTTTTCCGGGATTTGTATACTTGTTCACATGTCTTCCGTCGCATTGACTCTGTTCGCCGGCCGCTCGATCCGCCGTATTCGGGTCCTCACCGAATAATCAGACGCATAACAGACCGCGTTTTCCTGGTGGATATCAATGGTGAGGAAAAAACCCTATCAACAGAGTCGTTAAAACCCGCGTTCATAGTGCTGGAGAACAACGGCTCTGAACAGCCGCAAACGAGTGATCCGCGTCCGTCCACTTCATCCGCGCCACAACTCAAAACGTACGCGAAAAAGAAGAAAGTTTCGTTCCTCTCTGTCTAGAGAGGCACTGAGGGGGGAGCACCTGTGGGGACTTTGAGCTCTCCAAAAGCGCACGCATCCGTTTTCCGTGCGGCGCTATAGAGCGCGCGCAAGTGTCACTCGTGCGGGAAAAAAGACCAACGAGTCAGTAACCGTTGGAAGCACACACAGAAATCACGGATATACGATCGCTAGTTCATAGCTTAATCATTCTTTCTTTGTCGTGTGTGACACCGCGATTTCTGCACGCGGTCGCGATTGTGCGAGAGCGGGCAGGCAGGAGCATCGGCTCCGTTCGACACACACACATATACATACGAGTCCCGCGGTGGCTCATATGTCGTGCGAGCGCAGAGAACTATTTTCTGTATTGTAGACGAATAAGTTGTACCTGTGACTCACGTGCTCTGCAGCTGGCAGGCACGTGCGCAATAAAGGGACCAAAGAAGAACACGCCTAGGTTAATTTAGGAACCTACCCTCCACTTGCATCGGCGAGAGAGCAAGAGGGCACAAAAAACCTAAAAGTGGTCGAAATAAATAGATCATAAACGTCATGCAATAAACTTGGGCATCTGTCAACATAACCCCATAGAAACATTAGTCGATTTGTGTCTACATCATAAAGTTATTCTCGATTGAAAATGTCAGTTTACGAGCCAAATTCTCGTTATTTGCGAGAGGTTTTAATTTTCTGCTTCAATATGAAGAAATCTGCGGCTGAGGCTCATTAAATGCTCTCAAATACTTATGGTGAGGCCGCTATTAGTGAAAGAACGTGTCGTGAGTGGTTTCAACGCTTCAAGAACGGTGATTTTCACGTCGAAGACCGGCATAGCGGTGGAAGAGAGAAGGTTTTCGAAGATGCAGAATTGGAGGCATTACTTAATGAAGACTCGTGTCAAAGTCAAGAAGAATTGGCACAATCATTGGGAGTGACTCAACAAGCAATTTCAAAACGCCTCAAAGACATGAGAATGATTCAGAAGCAAGGAAATTGGGTGCCGTACGAGTTGAAACCGAGAGATGTTGAACGGCGTTTGTTTGCTTGTGAACAATTGCTTGAAAGGCAAAGACGGAAGGGATTTCTGCATCGCATTGTGACTGGGGACGAAAAATGGGTTCATTACGATAACCCCAAACGCAGAAAATCATGGACATATCCCGGCCATGCTTCCCCGTCGACGGCCAAACCGAATATTCACGGCTCCAAGGTCATGCTCTGCATTTGGTGGAACCAGCTCGGCGTAGTGTATTATGAGTTGTTAAAACCGACTGAAACAATATTTTATATAAATAACATTGTTTCTCAGTTTCTGCGATTGTTCAATTTATTATAATTATTATTATAATTTATTTAATGATAATATTTCGTTTATGTTCATTGCAATTTTAGTTGCCTAGTAATGTGATAAACTTCAGGTTGAGTTACTGTTTAATATAAAATGTAGCACTTAGTAATGATATGTTGTCAAAACAGTATTTAATATTTGATTAGTATACATTTGCGAAATTATTAGCTGTAAGGATTAATATTTGCGTGTTGTAAATAGCTATTTATTATTGCTAATGCAATAGCTGATATTGTTAATTGCTGTGTCAAACAATTGTTCATCAAAAATGTGTATTATTTCTTTTAAGTTCATGTGATACTGTTAGTGACACAGATTTTTTATATAATAAGATGCTTAATTGTATACTATTACGAAAGGAAGTCAGAGCAATAATAGTTTTAAATTAGTTAACATTATGCTAATCTTAACATAATCAATAATATAATTAATAAGAGTTTATGGTATTTTTTTTAAGTTTTGTAGGAATCCTTGACCCACTATTATTATTTTGATTCGACAAAACATTGCAAATCTTTGCTCGAGCAATTGGTTTGTCTCTGGTCCGAAAATGTTCACGATACTGATTATTTTACAAACGTAGAATTTTTTTTCAGTTAACCATCTATCCTACATAGTTATATTTGTTGACTACATATATTTATTTATCTTTTCGATTCAAATTGTACTTGCTCGTCATTACTGTTATCACTATCCGTATTCTTACTACAAAAAATGTACTGTACTTTTTACTTTTAAAATAAATATTTTTCTCGATAAAAGTTATATTTTATTCTCCTTACGACAAAAATTTCTAAGTTATTTAGGTAGATTTATACTAAATTATTTATTTAGCAGTTTAATTTATTATTAGGTTGCTCGGAAAGTTCGTTTCAAATTTTTGAAATAAATTAAGAGCGCAATATTTTACACAAAGACGAACTTTATTGAAGCAAATATGTACCGTTTTGTTTAACGACCTTGGCCCATCTTTTAAGAAGCTGCATGATGCCTTTGCTCCAAAATAAAGGTTTCTTATTGGCGAAGAATTTATCAAGATGACTTTTGAGGACTTTCAAAGACTCGAATTTCTTGTCCCAAAGAAAATTGTTTAAAGAAAGAAATAGATAGTAGTCAGATGGGGCAAGGTCGGGAGAATATGGAGGATGAGGAAGAACGTTTCATTCGAAGTCTAACAGCTTCCTACGGATAGACATTGCGACGTGAGGTCTGGCGTTATCATGATGGAAAACAATTCCACGCCTGTTGGCCAATTCAAGGCGCTTCCGTGCGATGGCAGTCTTCAATTCATCCAGTTGAAGGCTGTACTTCGCCGCGTTGATGGTTTCGTTTGGTTGAAGAAGCTCATAATATACCACGCCCTTAAAATCCCACCAGATACTCAGACGAACCTTTTTCGCGCGAAGCCCCGGCTTGGCCACTGTTTGCGTAGACGCGTCGCTGGTTCTCCACGACCTCTTGCGGCTAACATAATTGTTTAGGATCCAACTTTCATCGCCTGTTATGATCCTCTTCAAGAACGGTTCTTTTTGGTGCCGTTGAAGCATATCGCAGACGTTCACACGTTCCAGCAACTGCCGTTCATTCATTTCGTGTGGCACCCACACATCCAGTCGACTTGAGAATCCTAGCTTCTTCAGATGGTCATGCACGGTGGAAACAGACTTGTGCAGAGTGTCGGCGAGTTCTCTAACTGTCACTCGAGGATTTTCGTGCACGAGATCCATAAGAAGCGTTTCATCAACCTCCTGAGGCCGGCCTGAACGAGCTTGATCTTCCATGTTGAAATCGCCAGCTTCGAATCTTCGATACCATTTTCGAACTGTCTGGTGAGTGACGCAGGCATCTCCATATACTGAGAACATCTCATTCAGGGTCTGCGAAGCCGTGAAGCCACATTTAAAGCAATATAGTATTACATGACGAAAATTGACTTTTTGGTTCTCCATTTTTCAAACTGATTTCTGACGAAATAGTTGCACTTAGGAAGATCTGCGAAGTTTCCTTAGCGGGCTCATAGATCCGGGAATGTTTGTTGACAAACATAAAATCGTTTAGAGCGCCCTCGTTCTTACTGATTACATAGAAATGTGGAGCACGCGAAATTTGAAACGAACTTTCCGAACAACCTAATACATAAATAACATCATTATATAGTTAAATAAAATAATCATGATATAAGCCATGCTAAATACTCTCTTTTAGCAATACCAGCATCCTCATTTATCACAGGTCTCATTATTGGTTCATCCATTATTAAATTAGCTTCAGGAAGCACTTCTCTCACCTTCCCAATCTTCAAGTATAAAATCTTTTATATCATCAACTACATCAAAGCAGATGTTATGAAGAACACAAGACACTATGATAACGTATGGAATCATGTCATCCCGATTCATGTCCAGGAATTTTAACCTTCTAAATCTTCCTTTTAGCAAAGCAAATGCTCTCTCAATAACCTGTCTTGTTTGAGCATGAACATTATTGAAATTTATCTGGACCTAAAGAAATACAAAATATAATGAACTCTAAAAAATTAATAATTATAATAATACGGCATTAAAATTACCTCTGTCATATTCCCATAGTTACGAAGGAATATATCATGTAAGCAGTAAGCATAGGGTAAGCTTTATCTCCAATTATAAATTCTTCCGCTGGAAAATAATATTGGTAATTATTTTGAACTTCTCTCCACAAATCAAAGTTTCTAAAGATTCGAATGTCATTCACTGATGATGCATAGCCTGCAAAACAGTCTGTAAAATATAACTTTGTATCACATATTGCTTGAAGAGTTATGGCAAAATGATTTTTCCTATTTATATAATATTGAGCATTACTCTGAAAACATAATGCAACAAGTTATAATATAAAATTATGAATGAAATAAAATTTATCATAATGTTAGGTCACAAACCTTTGGAGCCTTTATCTCAATGTATGATCCATCTATTGCTCCAAGCACATTTGGCAGCCCAGCAATCTGCTGGAATTGTTGTTTTACATGAGTTGCTTTCTCACCTCGTGGCCATTCAATTACATCTCCAGCAATATCATTTAGAGCTTCTACAATTCTCATAAAGTTGACACATAATGAACTCTTAGCAATATCAAATCGTTCTCCAACAGATCTGCCAAACAAAAATATCACGATGTAAATTTAATTATATTGTCTATATTTATATAATATTCTATTAAGGAAAAGAATATATATCTTACCTATAAGAATCTGAAGTTGCAAGCAAGCACAGAGTACCCAAAAGCTGTTTACGAACTGAAACTTGGCCTACCATTGTTTTGATTCGACAAAAAAATTGCAAGTCTTCGCTCAAGCAATACGTATGTCTCTGGCAGCATCCGAAAATGTTCACGAAACTGATTATGTGATAAACGTGGTATTATTTCTTCCACAAAACCTTTTATCCTGCACGGTTTTACTTGCTGACCACGTTTACATTTATTCGTCTTCTCAATTCCAATTGTATTTGCTCGTCGTCATTATTATCACTATCATTATCTTCACTTTCCATATTTAATAACATATCCATTAGTAATTTATCACTTGCAGCAATCGCAAATGCCAAAATTCGTTTCTTCTATTGTACCGCCATTTTTTTCCAAATGTCACCTGTGGGTCCATTCCGTTTCACGCATCAAGCGCATTAACTGCATCCAGAACCGTTCCGTTTTAGCTAATGCGTGCATTGGTGGCGTATAGAATTCCCTAGAATCCCCCCACCTCTATCGCATTAAACGCGCATCAGCTACTACAGCTCGGACTAGAAGCAGTTAATGCGGGAGGGGCTCTCCACATGTGATGCAGTCATTCGGGTAGGGAATGCGGTAACAGAAGCCGTCAAGGGGAAAGAATACGCGCTTGGTATTAGCCTTGACATTAAGAACGCCTTTAATTCGATCCCTTGGGTGAGAATTAACGAGGCGCTAGAGGAAAAAGGGTTCCCGGATTACCTGAAAAGGACTGTGGCAGCTTATCTTTCCGAAAGATGGATAGAGTTCAGGGTAATGGGAGGAGAGGTCAGGAGAAAGCCGGTACGCGCAGGAGTACCTCAGGGGTCGGTACTGGGACCACTCCTCTGGAATATCGCGTACGATTCAGTACTAAAGGCAGACTTAGAAGACGGATGTGATCTGATTTGCTACGCCGATGACACATTCATCATTGCGAAGGCTAGCAATATCAAGACAACGGTAGCGAAAGCTAACCTACAGGCGGCTAGAACCATCAGAAGAATTGAAAGGCTGGGTTTGGAGATAGCAGCGCAAAAAACGGAGGTCATACTCTTCTATGGTCCCAGGAAGAGGCCATGCCAGAAGTCCGGATCGGGGGGGTGGACATCAGAACCTGTGAGGGTATGAAGTACCTAGGAATCATGCTGGATAGTCGCTGGAAATTTACGCAACATTTTGTGTACGCGGCAGAGAAGGCCTCACGTATTGCCGGGACCCTGGGTAGGCTAATGCCTAATCTCAGAGGGCCGCGAGAAACAAAGAGGAGGCTGTACGCGATGGTAGTGACCTCCGTACTGTTATATGGTGCGCCTGTTTGGAGCGAGGCGCTAGCTATATCAACGTCATCATCACTGACTCAGAGGGCACAACTCTCCATAAAAAGGGTGCAGAGATACACGGCCTTGAGAGTGATTGCTGGATATAGGACGGTGTCATTCGAGGCAGCGACTATTCTGGCAAGGACACCGCCGTTATACATAACGGCTGCCCTACAGAGGAGGACTTTTGTGAGGATAAGGGAGGCAAGAGCGAACGGCGATTGGACGGCCAAAACTGAAAACGAGATAAGGATGATGGAGAAAGTCCTGTTCAAACGGCAATGGGAAATATACGTCGAACGGGCAAATGAATCGGGGGTTAGGGTCAGGGAGGCAATTCTGCCTAACTTTAGCGGATGGGTGGATCGAAGAAAGGGAGGGCTCAGTTTCCACCTAACACAGGTTATAACGGGACACGGCTGCTTCAACGACTACTTGAAGCGAATAGGCAAGGTAGATAGCAGCCGTTGTGACCAATGCCAAGAAGGAACGGACACGGCGCAGCATTGTCTACAAGAATGCCCGGCCTGGTCAAATCAGAGAGCAGCATTAACTGCAATAGTAGGGAATGACCTGACATTGTCCTCAGTAATTGGGGCAATGTTAAGGTCGGAAGAGGCATGGGGTGCAATGAACATTTTTGCAACAGACGTAATGCAGCAAAAGGAAGAGGCGGAAAGACAGAGGGAGGAGCTGGACAGATTGCTGCTGGCAATGGAGGAGGAGGAATTAGCAGCAACAACTCCCCCGGTTGCCCCCTTTCCCACTAGTGAAGGCTCACAGGACACTCCACATGGAAGTTGACAAAGGTGAGCGGTAGCCAACAGGGCTGCGGGAAGGACGAATAAGGCAAGGCAAGGTTAGGATGCAGGATAAGGAACCCCCCCCCCCCCACCAACGGATGCACGCGGAGGAGTCAGGGGAGGAGGTAAGGGAGTTGGGTTTCCTCTTCCTTCCTTTTCTCTCTGGCCGGAGAGTTTGCTGGATCTTGGGGGAGGGTGCGGTGGATGAGGTGGCGTGACATCCATCGCTGGTTAGGTTAATGGGCATAGCCCTAGTACGAGGTCGATGATAAGATTGACTGTCTCAGGATGTCTCCCAGTAGTTGAGCTTTCTGGCGTACCTGGGACACACCTGATAAGATCGGTTAGGACGCCCGGTGGAGTTTTAGTGGGTAGGACGAGGCAAACCTAGGTTGGCCGCGGGAGCCCCACATAACCCGACCTGGACACCCCTCATTTGGAGGGCTTGGGTCGGGTATGCGTAAATGCATTTCTCCACCGTCAAAAAAAAAAAAAAAAAAAAGAAGCAGTTAATGCGGGCATGCGCAGATTAGTATTTATAATCTTTTATATAACACTATTTAAATACTGACAACGTGACGTGACGACTGATATATTTAACGTACCGATATTTTTTGATTTTAAACATATAGATAATCACAGATACGTACAATGGACAAAGTCGACAAAGTTGAATTCCCCGTATTAGGCCCAGTTCACTAGGCCCAGTTCATTAGGCCCAGTATATGCGCATATACTATTGCTTTTAACCATCGGTTTAGCTTTAAACTCCGTTTAAAGCAAGTTGTGGAACTGGGCCTTAGTGGATAACGAAATGATCACTATGTTTCTCGAAAAAGAGATCGCGTTAAGAGCATCGAAAGGTAAAATTGAAATTTTTAAGTTTTAGAAACAATTCAATTATATTTTTAAATTAATGCATGTGTGTGAATATTTTTCTACAGATCAAGATTTCTTGATAAAATATAGACTCACTACTACTACTGCTACTATTGCTGCTAATTCTGTTGTCATCATTCACTAATGAAAATAAGGCTATTGTTGTCAATGTTTCGATGTCCATTGTGACCATAGTAGCATCCATTTTTCCTTTCACATCAAACGCATCAAAAATCGTTCCGTTTCCAAAAGCGCATAGACGCATTAACGAAAACGGAACGATATCAATGCGCGCAATGCATTGGTTGCGATCAATGCGCTCGATGCGTGAAACGGAACGCAGCCTATGTCGTTCAGAAACATAAGGTCTGTTCTTTTCATCTGTACTCGTTGCACTAGTTCATGCACTAGAACTGATATAGTACAGGCGCGGGCAGTATGAGTGCAAGAGTACTGTAATGCTACGTCTACAATGGGGTCATAAAGTCGTGAAGTCGTAAAGTCGTAAAGTCGTGAGCTGGGTCCTGTGGTGATGCTTGTACAAAGTTCAATTAGTCACTGGATCGGAGTGTAAACCAATCAGAGAGCAGGATATTGCCCGTACAATAATATGAATGATCGATTGTGTTTATGTGTTATTGAAATAGAAATATAATGAAATTCCATGCAATTTGTAATATTTCTTTGTTATTAAATACTTACCATTTGAATTTAATATCGATATATTTATATCTAAAACGAAAGAGACAAAGAAGATAGTGGATAAGACCTATAAATAGAAGCAAAGATTATTTAGGATATTTCAATAAACAATTCAAAGAGGCATATGAGACAGATCATGAAAAATATTTTAGTATGACACGAATGACACCAGTCCAATATGATTATTTGTGCCATATTGTCAGACCTTTTCTAAGAAAAAGAAGATATATAAAAAGATATATAAAAAGGAGATATATAAGATGATATATTTTATGAAAATCTGTTGATACCACAAAGCAAGGCTATTGTTTCATGATTAAACTGTATGTTCCACAAAAGTATTACTTTTAATATTCATATTGAGTTTTCTTCTTTTAACAGTACAACTGTTATATAGAGAATATAGAGAAGAAAGTTTTGCAACTGTGTAAAAATACGTGAATCTGATTGATGGTATGCTTTTAATCTTGATTGAATTTAAAAATATATACCAATCAGATCAATTTTATAACATTTACATAAATTTCTCTGCTGATTGCTGACAATATTCCATATAAAATCCAACTACACTATAACATATGCTATAATAGGACAATTATATTTTTAATATTTTCTATCAGCAATGACTATATAATTATTCACTCATGTTGAAATGATTCCAATATTTCCAATAGTTTGATAAAACATTTTATTCTTTGTTGCATAGGTACACGTTTTATTCCATATAATAAGACTATCACCATACTTTTCTTTTCTTTTGTATCTGGCGTGGAAGTTGTACTGTTCAGCAATGCTGGCAAAGCTGAACAGGCTGCAGTAACAGCCTGTGATGATTCCATAATTAGAAAATTCACATCAAGACTTATATTCTTTCTTCTTCTGATATCTGTTTTAGGCACTTCGAGGTTATGCTTATTTGCTGGATCAATATTCTCGCTATCTGAAATTTATTTAGAAGTGTTAAGAATGTAATTAATGATTAAGTTTTCTGTGGAAAATAGTAATTTATCAATCATTTGCCTTCAGAAATATTAATAAAATTTTTATTGCAAGTAGGCGATTTTGCTGATAAATTCTTTATCATTGATCCTTGTGATACTGATGAAATTTGTGAAGGTGACTTTATAAAAAATGAATAAATAAGTGCCGTCCACACACCGATATCATTTTCCCACGTTGTTTACATAGCGTGATATATAAAATCTTTCTTCTGATTGGTCTATTGTAGTTCAAGTCGTTACAATAGTCGCTGAAATTGGATTGGAACCAACTCAAGCGACTGTGCTTGTAAGCGTTTTGCGATCGAAAATAACCTTTCAGTCGACCATTGCTACGACTCTACGACCGTATTTTGTGACTTTACGACTCTATTGTAGACGATCCTAACTTGAACGACAGCGATTACGATCTCTCAAGCGACTACCGCCACGACTCTACGACCATATTTTATGACTCTACGACCCCATTGTAGACGAGGCATAACAGTGAAAAGAACGCAATGGTGCAGTATTCAGCAGTATTTAATATGGCGCACAACAGACACAATAGGCTTGTTATACCTAATATATTAGTTGAACTAGAACTTGAGTCTTCAGATGAAGATTTTGATTTAATACCACCATTACCACCACCACTTTTGGTTGAAGATAATGATGGTAATATTTATAACAAATATGTTATGCACGAAATAAAAATTAAAAAATGTAACTTAACCTAATTTAATATATCAATTTATATTTTATATTTAGATCATAATGAATTACAAATATTTCATCCAGTTTTTGGAATGATTCAACGAATAGAACACATAAAAATAAATAATTATGTGGAAAACATAGTCCAAAATTATAACAACATCGATTTCATTATGCACTTTCGTTTATCAAGAGAAGTAGCATACGATTTAATAAACCAATTCCGTGTATCTGAGATATTTACTTCCTTACAAAGTATGTGTATATTAAAAAATTAAATTTTTATTTATTAATCCCATATTTATTTTATAAAAAGATAACTATCACAACGCATACATCTCTTTTACAGAAGGAGGACGTTTACTGGAGAAGTTACTGCAGAAAAACAAATTTTATGTTACCTATGGTTTGTAGGCCATGAAAGTGCTGGTTATCGTGATGTGGCTGACAGATTTGGAATAACTTATTAATGTTTTGCATAAAGTTATTACCAGAATAAAGTTATTACTAGTAACTGATTTTATTATGTATTTAGCACCCAATATTATTCGATATCCAACTGCAGATGAAAAAGAAGAAATATGCTTCTCATTATCGCAATGAGAAAGAGTTCCCTGGTGTAATTGGTATTTAACATTTCACCATTTCAATCGAAATTAAATTTTGTTGATATTTTTATTGATTCTTTTTAATGTATTTATGTTATCTTTGTTAGCTATAATATTCTTTTTAGGTGCCATAGACGGATCCCACATTAGAATTGACAAACCTACAGAAGATCCCAACTCATATATTAATCGGAAACAATACTTTTCATTGTATATCCAAGGCGTAGCCAACCACAATATGAAATTTCTTGATGTATTTGTCGGATATCCTGGCTCCGTCCATGACACGAGAGTATTTAAAAATTCACCAGTTCGTAATGATCTTCATGAACTTTGCAGAGGTTATTTAAAATTTAATTAAATAAAACATGATAAAAATTATAAGAATTAATAATTTGCACCTGAGTTATCAATCTGAAATGTTATTCAAATGTTATTAATCTTTCTTTTTTAGATAATTATTATTTATTAGGAGACAGTGCGTACCCTTGCTTAAAACAACTAATTGTCCCATTTAAGGATAATGGGTACTTGACACATGCACAAAGAAATTTTAATCAAAAATTAAGTTCTTGTCGCGTAATTATAGAGAATGCTTTTGGTTGTCTAAAACAACAGTTTAGGCAGTTATATTACTTCAAGTTACGTGATATAGTAAGAATGGTTCGCATTATACATGCTTGTTATGTATTTCATAATATGGCGAACGCAGGAGAAATATAATATTTTGAAGCCCCCATGAAGGATGAATATCCAGATATTGAAGTACAAGGTTTACACATTGAACAACGCATTGATGAAGTACTAAAAGAAAATGAAACTGGAATATATATTCGTGATGAAATATGTCGCCAATTAAATGTTCAATAAATACAATTATGCATGCATACATAAATACAACTGTACAAATATACATAATAAATAATGCATTATTATATGTTAAATATTTTGTAATTTATTTTTATATTTTGCAGATTTTTACTTATAAATTATAAGATAAAGTAAAATTAAAACAATAAACGAAACGTAGAAGTTATGTAATAAACAAAACATATATGATAAATAGACGAAACAAAACCAATATATATATTTCTTCCTTTTTTCTCTGGTTTCTTCATTTTCTTAGTTTTTATTTTTGTTTCCAATGAGATCTTTTAAAAGAATATTTTTTCTTCCCTTAATTTATTTGCAACTTCTAATTGTTCTCGTATTTTTTTTTAAGGATTCTTCGTAACTAATTCTCAGTTGTTTGTATTCTGCAAGTATGTGTCTTTGTATTTCTAATTTATTTTCTTTTTCTTGTATAGTAATATTGTTGCGCTCACTCTCGCACTCGCACTTGCACTCAGGTAAATGAAAACACTCGCGTAAGAATAACAAGCTTTACTATTTACAGCGCAGCTCACTCAAGCTTTAAACAAGAATAATTCTCTATTTGATAATTCTCAATTCTCTCGTCCGTCCTCGATGACAGCTGGTCAGAGACTCTGTCAGCTGTTGTTGTTTTCTTCTTATCGATTTTCCGTCGTCCAGACAATCTTCGTTCAGTTGTCAAAATCAGCATCAGATGCCTAAAGCTCACGGACAACGGACGCCGTCACAAACCTTGTAGCTCGGACACACCAATATTTATAAATTTTTCAATACTTTCTTGACACTTTTCTGCTATTTGTGACGCATTTCTCTTTCTTTTTCTTTGTGTTTGTTCTTGTAATATCTGTAAAAAAAATATATATATGCATATGACATGTTTGAAATTAGATAAAATTATATCTTTTTATATTAATGGGATATATTGTATTATACTTCGTTGGAATTATTCCTATAACAATGTCTCTTGTCGTTCTTATTTCTTTTGCATTATTATTTTCTTCTTGCATATTATAAAAGAGTGTACTTGTATTTTCATCATTAAAATCAGAAATAGATCTACAATAATGTAAAATATAGATTTCTGTTCATTAAATGTTGGTAACAGATTAATTATTATATATTAACATGTATTTATATATATATATATATATGCTTTTAAATAAGAAAATAAAATATAAAAATGTCAAACCTACAGAGATGTACCTGCTCTCACATCCTCTCATATAATTAAACCTTCTCTACCAGAGACGGCTAAAGGTTCAATATTGTGCCTAGAGCCTAAAAGTTCTGTTAATTTCCTATAACAAAAAATAATGTTATTTTACATACATTAATTCTTCACAAATCTTAAAATTAATAAAGATTACTATTTACGTTTGATATGGACACGTTGTACGTCCTCTGCCTGTCTTTTTGTTATTTGCAATCATATTTTTAAATAATCTTTCAAGGGATTTATATTTGTTTTCTATTTGAGTGGTTGTAACAGTGTATCCTTTTGATTGTATGATTTCATGTATCTTTTCCCATAATATTTTACTCGTTTTAATTTTTCGGTTTGTCAAAAGTTCTATTTTTTCTTTATATATATGTAACAATAATTTGGTACTTTCATCGGACCAAAGAAAACTATTATCTGTCCTACGTCCTCTAATAATCATATTATTTTCATGTTGTGTTACTGGTGAAGAAAATATTGTATTTTCATCATTTCTTATTACTGGAGAAGATATTGTATCTTCATTATTTCTTAATGAAGTATCTATAGTTTCACGTAATTTTACATATACTGATTTATTGTCAACAATACATTCCACTGTATCATAAGTAAAATCTATTTCTTTATATAGCATTTGAAATTGCAGACCTTAAAATATGAATATCAACAAATATAATTATTAATATTATATATACAGGGTGTTATGAAAGTCCTGGAAGAGCAGAATAGCTCGAAAAATATGAGTCCTAGAAAAAATGCAAAATACTGGGTTTTTATGATTTTTTCTTGGTTATCTGACGGTGACCTTGGATTTGACCTTGACAATAATCTTGATGGTCATTTCAAGGTCAGGTCAATTTTTTAAATGGGACCCCATACTTTAGACCCCAGAAATGAAAAGAGCGGAAAATTTTACGTTCGGATGTGACCTTGAACACTGCCAAATTTGACCTCTGAAGGTCACATAAAGGTCTAAGCTCGTTTTAGGCTGAACACGCGAATATCTTCGAAAATGCACCTGCTAGGGAGCAATGTTACGCATAAGAATAAGAATGTAGAGGTCAACGAGAGACATTCACACGTGACCTTGCTCTTATTCTCAAGGTCTTGAGTTAAGATTATTATTAAGGTCAAATCGGACATTTTTAGGATTGAAAATTCATACTTCTGATCTAAATGTGTCAAGATTGAAAAATTTTACGTTCGGATATGACGTTTTCAACCTTGACCTTGTTCTTCAGGTTATGTGCCAGTCCTATCAAGGTCAATTAATTTCATTAAGCTAGAAACATATACTTTTACGCCCCCCCCATAATGTGAAGAGTGAGATTTTACGTTATGTACGAGGTCACACTCCGTTGTTGGTAATTCCTCAATATCGGGCGCCATTTTGGATCGGTCATCTTGAATTTGTAAAATCCAACGTAGGATTCGATTTCAGAAACGACTTCAAAAATTCCTTAAACGAGATCCAATTTTTGTTATTCTTAAATATCGGCCGCTATCTTGAATCGGCCATCTTGAATTTGCAAAATCCAACGTCGGATTCGGTTTTAGCGAGCTCAAAAATCCCAGGATCGGTATCCGAAAAATGTATTCGCCATCGATAAAGTGTATGCTTCAAGGTTTTTATTTGTCGCGATTCTATCAGTGTCAAACAGATAATAGATTGTTTTGTTGAGTTTTCATCGATTTAACAAGTTTTGATGTCATTCTAGTCCATTTTGATTATCATATTATTATTAACGATCAATGTTACGTTACTTATTATTTTTATTTAAAGGTAAAGAAATCGAATTTTTTATACCAAATTTTTGCAAATTTTTTGTTTTCAATTCCAAATGGCTTCTCTTACAGAGCATGAGAGAGTTTGGCTTTTGATGATGAGAGGATGGGGGGATAGACAAAGGTCATACAGTGAAGTGAGATTGCTGTTCAATGAAAACTTTCGTAATGAAGGCGAAGGTAACGTAAAATCTCACTCTTCACATTATGGGGGGGGGCATAAAAGTATGTTTCTAGCCTAATGAAATTAATTGACCTTGATATGACTGACACATAACCTTAAAAACAAGGTCAAGGTTGAAAACGTCATATCCGAACGTAAAATTTTTCAATCTTGACACTTTTAGGTCAGAAGTATGGATTTTCAATCCTAAAAATGTCCGGTTTGACCTTAATAATAATCTTAACTCATGACCTTGAGAATAAGAGCAAGGTCACGTCTGAATGTCTCTTGTTGACCTCTATATTCTTATTCTTATGCGTAACATTGCTCCCTAGCAGGTGCATTTTCGAAGATATTCGCGTGTTCAGCCTAAAACGAGCTTAGACCTTTGTGTGACCTTCAGAGGTCAAATTTGGCAGTGTTCAAGGTCATATCCGAACGTAAAATTTTCCGCTCTTTTCATTTCTGGGGTCTAAAGTATGGGGTCCCATTTAAAAAATTGACCTGACCTTGAAATGACCATCAAGATTATTGTCAAGGTCAAATCCAAGGTCACCGTCAGATAACCAGGAAAAAATCATAAAAACTCAGTACTTTGCATTTTTTCTACGACTCATAGTTTTCGAGCTATTCTGCTCTTCCAGGACTTTTATAACACTCTGTATATACAAATATATTAAAATAATTGAAATATCATGTATCCAAATTTTTTAATTTATTTATATTTAGATTATTTAATTTTCAAACCTTCATAAATACATGTGACATATCCTTTATCATTTATTAAAATATTTCCCATTGCATCTTTTAATATAACACCAAATTTTTCTTTTTCCATTTTTAGACTTGTTTTTGTTGATTCTTTTCTCAGTTTTCTCAATTTTATTATTTGTTCCCTGAGAAAGAAATTATATATATTGATTGATATTGAAAATATATATATCAACAATATTTTATATATTTAAATATATATATATATTGTTGACTAATTCAATATCTTTTATATTATTCAAAATCTATACAGACACATATGTCTGTATTTTTATTTATTATCTAAATTGCTTATTAAATTAGCAATTTTTAATAATTTATAAGTAAGTTATCTATAAGTAAGTTATTTATAAGTAAATAATCTTTACTTTTAGGTTATGGACTTCTGTTTATGAGATCTGTTCTTTTCGTTGAACTCGTTGAACGTTGCATTGCCTGCCCCTGCACTGACTGCCCCTGCTCAAGACTTAGTCAGTGCAATGAACTGCTTGCACTAGTGTAGCTGTATTGCTGAAAAGAACAGCGAACATGACGTTATTATAGTCGAAAAGAACGCTTCAGTGCACACTTCTTGAACTAGTGCAGCTAGTTCAGCCGAAAAGAACAAACCTATATACATCCGAGAGGGTACCTTATTCCCACCATTCCATTCACTCAGACTCTCGGCTATCACCCGCTGGGTGTACTTTCTGAACGCACCCCAGACGTTGCTCCCTCTGACTTATTTCGATCAATAGCACACGGCCTGGTTGACCAGCACTTCTGGTCTTATGAAGAAGTAAGAAATTGGATCGATTCGTGGATCGCTTCAAAAGATAACCAGTTTTTTCAACGCGGGATTCGTACGCTACCCGAAAGATGGGAGAAAGTAGTGGCCAGCGATGGATAATACTTTGAATCATAAATACCAGTATAACCTATA